TTATTTACTATGATCACAAGTGCCACATGTGCTGTGACATTGGCACATGACTGTGTCCAAATTTGTTGGACCCTTTCCCAAAGTTGTATTTCCAGTAAAAGCTGGAGAGCTGCATTTCCCATAGGCTTTCAGCTCTTGTAATACCTAGCTTCACCTTTCTTGAAGTCTTACAATTCATGCTACAACAGAGTCTCACTCCTCTTATTGAATGTTCTATAGTATAAAATAATAAAATATATCCAAGAATATTGGGACCTGTTTAGAATGGCAGCAATAAGTGGGCAAATCTGGCTACTCATGGGCTGAGATCTATCACTGTGATTCAGTCCAACTGCATCCACGCATGACAGAAATATCAGTTTCTGGTAGACAGACCCTTTAGAAATGGAAAATAATGAATAGTAAGTGTGAATGTTCTTTATATCCCTTGTTAACAAAGGTATCAGAATTGACTGAATGCTTTATGGATTGCACACCAATCTGCTGAGGGCTGGTTTGGATCACTTTAGGGAATCAATAGGTACAATTTGCATACAATTGTAAAACTCTTGTTTTTTTTAGATTATTTGTCTTACATAGACTGTAATTTTCATTAACTATGTTTTTAACTTTGTTTTGCTCTGGGAATAAAATTCTTCATGTGTTATGTCAAGTGTTACCATTTCATCATGTGCTTTGAAGAACAACTTGGAGAACTGAAATGGGTAAAAAAATAGACGCAATTTTTATGTAAATTGTAAATGAACCGAAATTGTAGGCTTGTATGGATAGTCTCTTCATATGCATTTGTAAAGGTGTGCCACCTCTTCTTAGGTGATTTTGTGCTGTGTAACCTCCCTCTCTTGCTTCAGTGTACATGCATTTGACTGTAGTAGCACTACAACAAACCTACATGGACTAGTTTAATCTTTAAATTATGTTGGCTTTGATTTCAGTCAGATCAGGGGTGTTGCAAACTGCCTGCCAGTAAGAGGTTAAAAGAAATCATCATAATTGTTTTGAGTTTATAACCCTGTGCATTTTTCATATTTTTAGTCATATATATATATACAGTTGCAAGAAAAAGTATGTGAACCCCTTGGGATTACGTGGAGTTTTGCATGAGTTGGGCATAAAATGTGCTCTGAACGTCATCTAAGTCACAACAATAGAAGAACACAGTCTGCTGAACATAATACTACACAAACATTAGATGTTGCCATGGTTTAATTGCACATAACATGTAAACATTCACAGTGCAGGGGGGAAAAAGTATGTAAGGCCCTAGCTTAATGACTTCTCCCAGAGAGCTAATTGGAGCCAGGAGTTTGCCAACCTTGACTCCAATCAGTGTGATGATATTGGATGTGTTGCTGACAGCTGTCCTGCCCTTAAAAAACACACACCTGTTTTGGGTTAACTGGTTTCAAGAAGCACTGTCTGATGTGAACCATGCCTCGCAGAAAAGAGCTCTCAGAAGACCTACGATCAAGAATTGTTGACTTGCATGAAGCTGGAAAGGGTTACAAAAGTATCTCCAAAAGCCTTGATGTTCATGTGTCCACGGTAAGACAGACTGTCTACAAATGGAGAAAGTTTAGCACTGTTGCTACTCTCCCTAGGCGTGGTCGTCCTGTAGAAATGACTGCAAGAGCTCAGCGCAGAATGCTGCATGAGGTAAAGAAGAATCCCAGAGTGTCAGCTAAAGACCTACAGAAATCTCTGGCACATGCTAACATTTTTGTTGACACATCTACAATAAGGAAAACATTAAACAAGAATGGACTACATGGGAGGACACCACGGAGGAAACCATTGCTGTCCAAAAAGAATATTGCAGCACGTTTGAAGTTTGCAAAAGAGCACCTGGATGTTCCACAGCACTACTGGCAAAATATACTGTGGACAGATGAAACCAAGATTGAGTTGTTTGGGAAGAACACACAACACTATGTGTGGAGAAAAAAAGGCACAGCACACCAACATCAAAACCTCATCCCCACTGTAAAACATGGTGGAGGGAGCATCATGGTTTGGGGCTGCTTTGCTGCCTCAGGGCCTGGATGGATTGTTGTCATTGATGGGAAAATGAATTCCAGAGTTCATCAAGACATTTTGCAGGAAAACGTACGACCATCTGTCCGCCAACTGAAGCTCCGCAGAGGATGGGTGATGCAACAGGACAATGACCCAAAGCATACAAGTAATTCAACAAAACAATGGCTGCAACAGCACAGAATATGCCTTCTGGAGTGGCCCAGTCAGAGTCCTGACCTCAACCCGATTGAAATGCTGTGGCATGACCTTAAGAGAGCGATTCACACCAGACATCCCAAGAATATTGCTACACTGAAACAGTTTTGTGAAGAGGAGTGGTCCAAAATTACTCCAGATCGTTGTGCAGGTCTGATCTGCAACTACAGAAAACATTTGGTTGAGGTTATTGCTGCCAAAGGAGGGTCAACCAGTTATTAAGTCCAAAGGTTCACATACTTTTTCCTCCCTGCACTGTGAATGTTTACATGTTATGTGCAATTAAACCATGGCAACATCTAATGTTTGTGTAGTATTATGTTTAGCAGACTGTGTTCTTCTATTGTTGTGACTTAGATGACGTTCAGAGCACATTTTATGCCCAATTCATGCAAAACTCCACGTAATCCCAAGGGGTTCACATACTTTTTCTTGCAACTGTATATATATATATATATATATATATATATATATACACACTGTAAATATAGCCATACAGATCAGGTAGAGGGAGAGAGAAACTATACCCTCAGCTGATCATCGGATGTGCTTGTAATTTGGATTTAATCTAGTCAGGTCCGTAAAAAGCAGACTTTTTTTTTTTTTTTTTTTTTTAGCAAAGCAGTTAAGGTTAGCCTGAGAAATAAAAAAGAAGGCTAGAGCTACACCTGCTGGTTGGAATAAATTAATGTGAAATATTTCATGCCTAACTTACCACACAAAATGTAATAGTGAAAATATACACATTTTGGTAGCATGAGACAAAAATCACTTGCATGGTTTAGCTGATACAGAGAGGTGAAGCTGGCCAAGTTTAAATTCAGGGACCTTCAGATGATACAGGTACTGAGTGTACAGATTTATCCAGCAAGAGAGACCTCTGCACAAGTTGAATACCAAATGAAAAACTGGAGCCACTTAGCAATTTAAGATATGTCCTCCAAGTACGTCTACAGGACATTAAAGGACAACTTCACTAAAAGTGAAGTTGTCCTTTAAAGAGTCAGTTTACCCGAAAAAAGGCATTTCAGGTCTTGGTAAATGCTGAAGTATAAACCTGTTTAACTCTCCAGCTTTTTCTCTCTCTTAGAGACTCTGATGATACCGATGAGCTCTCTGCACTGAGGTCCTGGGTTTGCACACCAGCCATGTCCATTATGGAGGATTCCCACCATGCCTGTTGGTTTATTATTTAATCTAAATGTAGCGGTACCCCTGTAGAGCCAGCAGTTACATAGGTTCCTGTGCAGGGCAGACTGACAACTCATGGGGCCCCCGGGCAATAGGGGATCATGGGGCCCCTGTGTCCTTGCCCAAACTCAAAAAAGTCTATGAAAAAGGTACCAGGGGCATCTCATGGGACCCCCTACTGACCCCGGGCCCTCGGGCAGTTCCCGAGTTTCCAAATGGTCAGTCCTCCCCTGTCCCTGTGGTATTTTTTCTGAAGGTTGCCCCACAGCCAGGCACACAAACACAGTCACTCTTTGGCTCAGTGAGCAGTCTAGGGGAGTTCTTTTTGGTGTTTTTAGTTTTAGGGATAACTTGGGTAGGAACTGGAGATGAAAGGACACTGTAACAGGAGCAGCTGGAACACACAAAGGTGGCCAGGGATGCCAAAAATTCCCAGGTGGACAATGACAAAGTCAAGAATTACAACAGGGAGATCTCACTGTTGGACTGTCTAAGAAGTCAGTAGCTGACTCAGCCCCACCTCACTCCACCCATAACTTTATATCACTTTATTGTATACTAATCATTACGATTTGTAAGGTTTGACTAGCGTGTGCCTTTAAATGCTCCTATTAGTACACTCAATATTTAGGCAGGTCTGCCCCCTAATGCTATGTGACACCTGCACTTTTAAATATTTGCTCAGGTATTTTCGTCTTCTGTGATTACAAAGGAGTGATCCGTGAAATTAGATTTTGCGGCTATTTAAAACATATTAACGTTATGCCCATCAATCAATACAAGTAGCAGGAGCTCTAGATAATGTCACTGTCATCAATTTCAGACTTCAGTCTGGTCAGGTATATTTATTTTTTCCCCAGAGAATATAAAGCAGGACTTCATGAAAACGCTTAATTATTTGAACAGCCACAAGCTGATGGTGCCGTCAGTACACCGAAACCTGGGGATGAAAAATATTATGGAAAACCAAGAAATACATTCATGGTTTGACAGAGCATTGCTGAGCTCAGGAGAATCAAAAGCAAAGCAGCGTATGCAAGCCACAAAATTCAAAGAGAATTAATAACCCTTTAAAGTGTTTTTTGTAGCTAAGCTATACGGTCATAAGTTTGTGATGACCTGACCATCATACCTACTATATGGCCAAAATATGTGAACACTCCTCCATAGAATTGACTTCAGATGATTCCAATGAAGGGTATTGTTAAAGCAATATACAAAGATAGTTTGGACACTTGTGGACTTCCAACCTTCTGTCAACAGTTTGGGGAAGGTAATTCCCGTTTCCATCATGACTGTGTCCCTGTGTACTAAGCCAGCACCATAAAGATATGGTTTAGTAAGTTTGGTGTGGAGGAACTTAAGTAGCCTGCACAGAAGTGAGACCTCAACCCTATTGAGCCCCTTTAAATGAACTGGATTGCCAATGCCAGTTTTTCTTGTCCAAATAAAGGCTTCTATATAGTTGGTGGCAATTCCACATTATACCTATGGTTTTGGAATGGGACATCCAACAAGCTCACATAGGTATTATGGTCAGTAGGAATGAGTTTTGGTTAACAGATTGACAAACAAGCAAACAAACTGGCCATATTTGGTGGTTATGACCAGGGGCGGACTGACCCTTTGGAAACTCGGACACTGCCCGAGGGCCCGGGGTCAGTAGGGGGCCCCATGAGTTGCCCCTGGTACCTTTTTCATAGTTTTTTTTGAGTTTGGGCGAGGACACAGGGCCCCATGATCCTCTATTGCCCGGGGGCCCCATGAGTTGCCCCTGGTACCTTTTTCATAGGTTTTTTTGAGTTTGGGCGAGGACACAGGGCCCCATGATCCTCTATTGCCCGGGGGCCCCATGAGTTGTCAGTCCGCCCCTGGTTATGACCATATGTGACTCATGATTCCTGGCCCACTTGTGTGGCTTAAAAGAAGCTGGAGGGGATCTGTCATTTAGTGCTGCTACTACTGCCATTAAATGACAGATCCCTCATTCCACCCATCATTAGTTGCTAGAAGCTGGCAGCTGCACTACAACAACCAATGGATCTGTGCAGTGAGGATGGAATGTCCACTATGGATACTCTGACCTCAGTACTGCCACCCACCGTGCCTCCATGAGTGCTACCTGAGGCAGCCACCTCACTTGGCCCCATGGTCAGCATGGTCCTGAAATGTTTGATTGATTTAAGAAGTTTGAAATGTAAAACCTTTAATTGATTAAAGTGTTGATAAACCCACAACAGTAAATCAGTCTATATATGCAGTAAAGCATGCTTGTTATACTCAGTAGAACCTAAAGGGTTAAACCTGGGCATTGTGTAAAAAGGATGTTTGATCCTGTCTTCTCTGATCCTCCCCTTCTTCTACTGTCCCCAATCCGTCTGCTGATAGAACAGAGCCTTGGGGGCAAGCTGCATGTGCTCAGTTTGGTGTGTATTGCTAGAGAGTTTTTTGGGGAGAGTGCATGTGATCAGCACAGGGCCAATCAGCACTTTCCAGACAGAGGGTCAAGGGTCCTGCATCCTCATAGGACAATCAGGGGAGAATGAAAACTCCTCCTACAAGCTTTAAGCAGCACTCTGCTGGAATCTAATAGAAGTAAAAACGACGACTGCTCAAACTGACGATGAAAAAATGTATAACAGTTTATATTTACTAAAATAAATGCATTTCAATGTTGTGTGTACTGTGGGAGAGCAGATATAGTGAATGCAGGCTCCAGGGTTTAGTAACACGTTAACTTAAAAAAGAACCTCAGCCCCCCAATATTTGTGCCCCAACCCTACTCTCCCACCCCTCCATCTTTGATTATCTTGTGTGTGCACAGATGTGTTGGAAGGTCTCTGCCAGGTCTTCAGGATGCAGCAGAGACCTGCAGTACATTATCACATGTACACCGGGTATTCCTGCGCATGCACACAAAACGCTGACATCTGTTGCGTCTGCCCGCACGCACTGGAACCCCTATGCATATGCAGATGTGTTGCAGGTCTTTGTAGGGTTTTTAAGATCTGTGGCACAACTGTACATGCATAGAATCCTGCTGTGAGCATGCGTCTGTCAATAAAACTGCCTCCAGGAACGTGTGACATGTACATCCTGGAAGGTAACAAGGGAAAGAGGTTGGGGGGAAATTTGCTCTACATCATTCTCACCTAGGAGCACTAAAGTCAGGATACTTTTGATAAATAAATCATTTTTTTATCCAATAGTGGAAAAGGTAGGAGCCAAGAGGATAAAGGATGTGTTAATTGCTGAAGATCTGCTTTAAGCTTGTATTTTTAAAGCCCAAGTGAAGCCTCCTTACCAGGGGCGGACTGACAACTCATGGGGCCCCCGGGCAATAGGGGATCATGGGGCCCCTGTGTCCTTGCCCAAACTCAAAAAAGCCTATGAAAAAGGTACCAGGGGCATCTCATGGGGCCCCCTACTGACCCCGGGCCCTCGGGCAGTGCCCGAGTTTCCAAAGGGTCAGTCCGCCCCTGCTCCTTACATATTTCTGTACTGCAGTCCCAGGGAGCGTGAGCTCTCTTGGATGGAGCACTGTGCAGGCGGCATGTTGGACCAGGGTGCACCCTAACTGGATCTACCATCATAAGGCCTTTAACCCTAACTGAGGCACAACAGAACATTAAGCAAAACATTTTTTAGAGTAAACCCTTTAAGCAAGGTTGTGGCACCAGCCAGAGCAGGAATGTTGGGGGAGATAATCATTCAATAACACTCAATAAAAACAATAACTGAATTCTCTGCTTTTGAACCTCTTACACTTTAAATATTAATTATTAGCTCTGAAACGCCTTTGAAAAATCAACATCCCAGATCCTCGGGGAAGAAAAACAACATATTTTCTTTTTAGTTTTAAAAAAAAAAGTTCCTTAGCACAATAAGTTCCATGGAATTGCCGGCATAACTGCTGAAATGTGGCCATTTAGTGAGCTAATTAGGGATAATTTGCTGAGCCTGGAATCTATAAGCTGGCACTGAAATAACTTAGGACATTGAGAGACAGACGCTACATGGCGAATGACTAAATTAATAGATTAAATGAGGACAAAGTATTGACGAGGATTAGAAATTCACAAAAAGAGTTGGATCAGTTATGTTTCTTTCCACAATGCGTTGTTATTCAAAATACTAATGAGGGGGATATTCAACATGGAGAATAGAATAATTAATGCTCAGCATAGCAGAATAAAATACACCTTACCATAAACAAGACAGATCCGTTTTGACACTATACAAAAAGCACTGCAGGTGTACCAGGACATATAAAGAAGAAAAAAGAAAAGAAAAAAAAGAGCCAAAATTCAACAAATGAAAGGAAGGGGTCTAGAAGAGTAAGGATGGGGAGATAAGTGCTAGTTAATGCTGGATGTCCTGTTGCCAGAAAAAAGGACAGGCTCTAGTTGACTTGCTGCAGTTTCTAATGCACAGTATGAGGAGCTGATTTTCTAAAGTCTATTAGACTGTGCACTTTGCAAAGTGCAGTTGCAATCTGCAACAGCAGTTGCTCCACAACTTAGTAAATGTTCAGAAGCTCTGCTGACGTCCATCATCCAATCATGTGTAAGCAAAAATGCTATTTTTCTAAATTTTCCCTGTATGTGATTTTTCTTGCATAGTGAAGCTTCACCTCATTTACTGAGCTCTGGAGGAACTGCACTCGCAAGATGCACAGTCTATTTGCCTTTAGTAAATCCACCCTTAAAGTTAAAGTGATAATAAAGTCAATAAAAAAAAAAATAAGGAACATGTACTTACCTGCTCTGTGCAGTGGTTTTGCACAGAGCAGTCTCAGCAGGTCTCCAAGCACACTTGGCTCTCCCTGCTATATGGAGGCAGCTTGCTATGGGGGCACCAAGCAGGCTCACTCCCAAGCCGCTGCTCTGCATGTCCATTCACATACAGAACGTCAGCTTGGCCCTGCCACCTCTCCTCATTTACTAAGCTCTGGGGCAAAGTGCACAGTCTATTTGCCTTTAGTAAGTCAACCCTATAGTATGCACTTATATCAGAGTAAGCAATTTTAGAACAGGAGGGTGACCTGTACTACTGTGCAAGCCTGAAAGAAAGGCTGGAGGTCAACTTTTATTTCCACACATGAAGTGAAGGCAGGTATTCCCAGTGGAAATGTACACAATATAAAACCTGATACTTAGACTTCACCTCACTGTTCATTTTTTGGAGATAGACTTTAAATTTTACGTATCTCACAAATTCAATCCCTGGTCTCCATGCTCACTTCTCTGAGACCACACTGATAGCAGAATGAATGGCACCGCAGCACATCAAAACACATACTGTATGATTGGTACCAACGTGCAAAAGGTTATTGTATGAACCCAGCCTAGGAGTCCATTCACCCCACACACTTAGGCACATTGCAGCACACTGTAGACAATGCACCTCAATGCACGACAAAGTAGGTGTTTCGAAGGTTGTGGTGCAAGTCATTCACAATCAGGGGTGGACTGACAACTCATGGGGCCCCCAGGCAATAGGGGATCATGGGGCCCCTGTGTCCTCGTCCACATTCAAACCTTACCCAAAAAAGCCTATAAAAAGTACCAGGGGCATCTCATGGGGCCCCCTACTGACCCTGGGCCCTCGGGCAGTGCCCGAGTGCTGGAATGGTCAGTCCGCCCCTGTTCACAGTGCATGTCAAGATTGGTGTGATTGGGCCCTTAGTGCTAAAATGCTGAGAGCCAGATCACTCACCTGTGAAAGGCTGGACTAAGGTGTCCGTTTATGACACACAGAATAGCTGCGATTCAGAGGATCACAGCTATTCTCTGGTCATTCACAGTTTATGACACCCAGGAGAATATGTTCAGCCCTTCTCTGGAGATCTGTGTTCTCCCTCCAGATTCTCTAGCCCAGAGCTGGAGAATCGGAGGGACCGCAAACTAAGCAGAGATAATTTACCTCTGCTTAGTAAACTGATCTTTTACTGTAATCTCGCGAGATTATAGTAAAATCAGCCGTTTTCCAGCGTTTGTAGACCATTCTCCCTTCGTTTGGAGAACTGATCTACATATGCTTCATAAACGGCATTCACAGGAGAACTGTGTTCTCCGAGAATGCCGGAGAACTGAGCAGCGATCTATTACCGCTGGTTCATAAACGGACACCTTAGTAGGATAAGCAGCTGGCCAAAGAAAATATATTTGAAAAAAACAACCAAGTCTATTAGTCTATTACATGTATGATCAAATTATTACATTTTTTTAAAATGATAAACCAAATAAAGAGAGAATATTGTTGAGAGTATGAGACTCACAGGGGGCACATTGTATAGATAGATAGAATATATATTTATATTATAATATGTATTTATTTATACTTTATAAATACCCATCCAGTATTAGTAAATCTCCTTTTTACCAGTAAAACAGCCCTGACTTATCAAGCCATGGACTCCATTAGACCTCTGAAGGTATGCTGTAGTACCTGGCACCAAGTCGTGAACAGCAGATCAATTCAATAAATTGTAAGGTGGGGCTTCCATGGTCAGACTTCTTTTCTCCAGCACATCCCACAAATGCTCAATTGGATTGAGATCTGGACACAAATTGGAGGTCAAGGTTAACAACTTGAACTCATTGTTGTGTTCCTCAAACCATACTTGAACCATTTTTGCTATGTGGCAGGGTGCAGTATCCTGCTGAAAGAGGCCACCACCATCAAGCAATTTCCATGTAGGGGGTGTACTTGGTCAGCACAATGCTTACGTAGGTGGTATGTGTCAAGTAACATCCACATGAATGGCAGGACCCAAGGTTTCCCAATAGAACATTGCCCTAAGCGTCATACTGCCTCTGTCACGTGACCAGACCAGAGAGGCCTGAAAATAGGTAATTATATACATCTTTCATACACAGGTAAGTTAGCATAGGTTCTTAGGTTTATAATTCCACTTTAACCACTTCAATACCGGACACTTTCACCCCCTTCCTGCCCAGGCCAAATTTCAGCTTTCAGTGCTATCACACTTTGAATGACAATTGCACAATCATGCAACACTGTACCCATATATCATTTGTATAATTTTTATTTTTCACACAAATAGAGCTTTCTTTTGGTGGTATTTAATCACCAGTTGTTTTGTTTTTTTGCTAAATAAATAAAAAAGAAATGAAACTTTTGAACAAAAATTAGATTGTCTTCATTTGTTTTATAAATGTTTGCAAATAAATAATCTTTCTTCATAAATTTAGGCCAAAATGTATACTACTATATTTATTTGGTGAAAATAACCCAAATCAGTGTATATTTATTTAGTCTGTAGGAAAGAGTCCACAAACTTTGGTATATATCTGACAATCAATCAATCCTGATGTACTGATGGCCTCATTTCTTCAAGCCTGGAAATGCCAGGACAGTACAAATACCCCCTAAATGACCCCTTTTTGGAAAGTTGCCAGTTCAAGGTCATTGAGGCATGGTGAATTTTTTGAAGTTGTAATTTTTTGTCAAATTTTTTTTTGGAATATTAAGAAATTTAAAAAAAAGTATTTTTTTCCACAAACGTTTTTTTTTTTGTATATATACTGCCACCAGTACAGTACAGCATCATGATATAACTGCATATAGCTCGTGTGGCGGTGATCAGGGGCACTGAGTGGTGACAGTATGTAAAAAAAAAAAAAAAAATATTCTTTAAAATATTTTCTTTTTTATTAAATTTTTTTTGTTTTTTTCAAAAATGTTTTTAACATACGGTGACCAGAGCAATACAGTGTTGCCATAAAAACACTATTCTACTCTGGGAAGGTGATCAGGATTTATTTTTTTTTTACACACTATTATCGCTTATAACCAGGAGCAGGCTGACAACTCATGGGGCCTCCGGGCAATGGGGGATCATGGGGCCCCTGTGTCCTTGCCCAAACTCAAAAAAGCCTATGAAAAAGGTACCAGGGGCATTTCATGGGGCCCCCTACTGACCCCGGGCCCTCGGGCAGTGCTCGAGTTTCCAAATGGTCAGTCTGCCCCTGCTTATAACATTGATAATCACTGTTATAAGCAATAATTTTTTCTGAATGAAATCCGTTCATTCAGTGTGTACTATTTATTAATTAATTTTTTTCAGGTACTCATATAGCGCCGTCAATTTACACAGCACTTTACATACATATATATTGTACATTCACATCAGTCCCTAACCCTCAAGGGGCATACAATCTAAAGTCCCTAACTCACATTCATACATACACATACTAGGGACAATTTTTTTAGACAGGAGCCAATTAACCTACCATATTTTTGGAGTGTGTGAGGATACCCACACAGTCACAGGGAGAACATGCAAACTCCAGGCAGGTGGTGCCGTGGCTGGGATTCAAACCAACGACCCTAGTACTGCCAGGTGAAAGTGCTAACCATTTAGCCACTGTACTGCCCTGATTGGCCACAGCTAATCACATGGCACAGCTTGTCTGTGTTTGGCCTTGTATGCCCATGTGATTACTGTGACAAATCACAGAGATCAGCACAATAGTACACAATGAATAGTATGAATGAAAGCCATCCATTGTGTACAACTGTCATGTGATTGGTCACAGTGATCACATGGTACAGGCAGCGGCTCCGTACACTGATCTGTTACCCGCAGCGTACAAAAGACGTGACCCTGGGAGGACGTCATATGATGTCCACCCAGTATAACAGTGCTCGTCATATCACAATAGGTCAGGCGGGAAGTGGTTATAACAGCTAAACACATTCCAGATGAATCAAAACACAAAATGTAAAAAGTCTTACAGTTATTTTTTTTTCTTTTTCAAAAAGCAGCCACAGTCTGAGTAGAAAGGCCTGTCTCCTGCCAGCATACTACATAGAAGAACCCTTGCTCTCTGTGTGGAACAGTGGTCTCTCTAGCTTTGCACTCAGCAGTGGTTATTCTCCCTGATGATTGGAGAGCTCTAGCTCTGACTCAGTAGGAGGATGTTGGACCTCAGTTGGGTTTTAAAGTGAACCTGTTGCTTTCCTTTGAATGGGAAAACGTGGGTTCATTTTAACAATAACCAGCTCCTGTAGATAATTTCTTCCTTGCGTGTAGAACAGATGCCTCGATATCACGGATGGACTACAAGAGGATAAAAAGCCCCTGCCTAGCCTTCTGACTTTAGAGGCTAAAGTGACAGATGAACTGTCAAAATCTCCATCTTTCAGCTTTATCATGACTATCCGTGCAGCTGCTGTGCAATAGACATGTAATGAGAAGCAAAACATTTCCAACTTACAAAGTAACCTTGTCAACAGGAACTTTTTACAAAAGACTTGCGTTAATAATATATGATTTGTAACTGGATCGTGCAGGGCAGGGTACTTAACATCGATTTCTTTTAGCTGTGAAAGATGATGAGGTAGGTTTCATTGGTCCCATGACGCAGAACGTAGTTTTAATGTTTACTAATATCAATATTCATGGGATTGCATGTGGTAATTTGGAAATGTGTTTTCTTTCTGCTATTTATTCTGCCTTTCTGGGTAAACAAATTAGTTTATCCTATCTGGTGCGGATGGGAACGGTACAACGGAGGGAGAATATAATGAGGTACAGGACACGCGGGTCTCCGAAGGACTGTCTTTATGTTTTATTTGAACCTTCCGACCTTAGACGGTGGCCTTATGATGTCTCGGCTTTCATCTTCTAACAGACAAGCAGTTTACTGCTATTGAGGAGAAGAGGCTTCTGGGAAAAAGCAAACGACGAAAGGACAAGCATGTAAACAGCATTTACTAGAATTCCATTCTCTTGAATAATGGGGACTTCTTGCATAAAGTCCCCAGAGATTGCGGCTTTAAAGCATGCCTTTCATTAAAAACAATAACTCTTCCGCTACAATCGTTTAAAGAGGACATGACTCTTTGTAGCAGACGGAATCCTGCAAATGAAGAGGGCAGCCAAGCACACTTTTGAGCTTGTTTTCCTCTCACCCCCCCCCCAAATAAGAAGGCTGAAGGGTGTCTTCCAATACATTCATCAGTGCCGTTATGTGGCATGGATTGCACTGCATATTTTCGATGCGTTAAGGCGCAATTCAGATTGCAGTTTAAATCAACTAAATACATTTCAGGTGAATCAAAACATAAGTTGAGCAAAGTCCTACAGATCATTTTCTTTATCATGTAGCCATAGTCTACATAGAATAGCATGTTCCCTGCCAACATCCTGCAGAGAAGGTCTGTGTGGAAGCAGTGGTCTCTTTGCAGAGGTCCGACACACACCCTGCTGAGTCAGACCTATAGCTCTTTAATAATCAAGCATGTTGGACACTTGCAGGGAGACCACTGCTTCCTCCCAGAGGAAGGGAGGAAGCAGTGGTCTCCCTGCAAGGGTCCAACATGCTTGATTATTAAAGAGCTAGAGGTCTGACTCAGCATGACGTGTGTCAGACCTCTGCATTTAGATAGATAGATCGATACATTGACATCACTAAGTTCAGCTTTGAGACCCTTACTTTTTCACCTATTTAGAATTGAAATAGAGCTTGGGATTCAAATTACCATTTATGTGTTTGCAAAGCACATGATTCCTTCTGATAGGGCAACTCCAGCTGTGACTCAGCAGGGGGCATGCTGGACCCTTGCAGGGAGAACACTGCTTCAATAGTGTGTTATATAAATTATATCAACTTTGTGATTATAAGTACCTTTTGTGTGCTTGCAGACACACCAAGCTATCTAGAGGAATAAAGTCCCTACAAGGTGTCTCTAACTTACAAGTAGACGTCAATGCACTATTTGATTTGCAACTATGTGGCAAATAAAGGTTAATGTTGATATAATGTATGCAAAATTATACACTTTGGGGCATGGATCGTACATTCTAGGGGGTGTAGAACTTGGGGGAGTTAACTGAGAAGGATCTGGGTGTTCTCATAGAATCAGCTCAGGGCTTAATAACCAGCATAAGCTAGAGCCAGGTAAGGCATTTGATGGCTACTGGGTAGTTAGAGGTTTGGGTGCACGACCAAATAGAAGCTGCTTGAGACTAAGACACAGAGTAGACAGACTGACTGAGTTCCAATGCCACACCATGGTTTCTGCTGATGAGAAGCTGCATTCCAGGCTTTTTGGACAATGGCTGGATGATCTCCACATCATTACTGCTCTTGTCTTCAGGTCTTCAAGACCAAGCTGGACGCTGAATCACAATCATCCTCTTGGGCCCCTGCAACTGAACTTTGCTGCAACATTCATCTGGAGGTATCTTTATTAATAACTTTATATACCCTGGTATATATGCATAGTTGCATCAGGACTCTTGATGGGCCCTTTGCAGATAATACCTGTTTTACATTGGATGTATGTACTGTTATTATTTTTTCTTATATAAAGCTTGTATTGTTTCCATACCGGTGTGCATGTATATAGTTATATATACAGGGTGAGCAGAGGTGCAACAAGTGGAACTAAAAGTGATGGGACATAAGGAATGGACACTAAAATGGATGGCATTTGCCTAGGGTGCAGTTCTTAAGTCCTTATATATGGAGGAGTACCTTCATCTTCTATGGCAGCTGTTCCTCAGAGTATGCAGGCTTTGTGTGGAAAGACAAATATGAGAACAAGGGAGTCGCCACTGAGTGTAGTATTAGTGTGTAGTTTATTAAGCACAGGTAAGTAACACTCACAGCTAAGCCAGCAATAAACTGCATAGAAGCAAATAACTAGTCTAGAGTGCATTCTAAGAGAATGCGTAGGATATGGCAAAATGTGCCCTGAGAGGTACCTCTTAGCATAAGCAATAGGTCTCTGTGTAGCAGCTGTAAAGGGACAATCTTTAGTACTAACTCTTCAGCCGGCTATCACTGGGGCCCATTAGTAGCATAAGTGCACACGAGAATAGTCTGAGTCAAGCCTGTAGGTAAGGCTACTAGGTGGCTGTATGGTTAGTTCCTAAGGGACTCAGTCTCTCTGGCAGCACATAGTAGATCCCCACAACAGCAGCTCACCAGTCCCTGCGATATTGCAGCTTGCCATCTGGTCACACACAGCAATTAGTCTACTCATGTGACTGACTGTTGGCATACCCATACTTAGCACTCTGGATCCCACTCAGGCCGCCGACATACAGCAGTGATGGTGCACACTGGACTGCAATGTGCACTCTCTGGTCTTCCTCACAGCCAAAAAAAGGGACGTCGCATCCTGTAGAGTCTGAGATCTTTCTCCTTTTTGCCTTCCTAGCAATCTCCTCTCTGGGAAATGCAATTCAATAGCTCTCGATTACAGTCTCTCTCCTTTGGACTACATTTCCCACAATGCAGTACTGCCTGAACTCTTCCTGCACAGAAGCTCCCTCTTCTTGTTGATACAGCTGTTGCCTAGTCCACAGAGAGCAGCTGCAGCCAGTGTTTCTCTCACTTTCCATTCTCAGGCAAGCACTTGGCTAAACTGGGCCCTGTCCTGGGAGGAGGTATTGACAACTTTTTTTCCAATCCCTAGTTCCATTAATTCTATTGGCCCTGGCTCTATTATATACCTAAATGTTTAACACAATATCCTATTTTGGGAGGACCATCTGTCATAATCCCCCCCCCCCCCCCAAAGAGGACTACATGTGATTGTACATGGTTCTTGACATGGTTCCAAGTAATGAAGCCAGTGAGTCAAAAACCATGAAATTTGCATTTTCTAATATAGGTCAGCAATGGCATTTGTCATATATGTCTTAGGAAAGGTCAACTTTTCCTTTATTTCCGTTTCGTGTTAGCTCAGTTTTAGTTTATTCTCTTACTAATTTTATTCCTGCAACTCTATCTCATCTATCTTTCTAGCTATCTGTATAGCCGTCTATTAATACGTTTATTTTTACAATGTAATAAAATTGTAGTAAAACAACAAAAGTAACAACCGCAATATCAACATTCTTTTAATAAAAGGCATCACAGCTTCCTCTTATTGGAGTCACTGTGGCAGTGAATCAGTTAATTCCCGGTGTCATTTCAATTCAGTCATCTATGTAGTCACCACTATCACAAGCCCTGGAAATGTTTAGTCTACAAGTAATTACTTGTCAATCCAAATCATGAACTGGGTATTTATGGGGATAAATTGTCGCTCACAGCTCCTGCAAGATGGTGAAAACCAATAAAAGCCCAAACACTGTTTATTAACATAATAATCTCGCAGTATCTCAATTGTATTTATGGCACGGGTACAAAGCACTCCTGTTTTACATGTCATTAAGATGCCGCCAGTGAGCGACAGTCTGCCGTTACAGTCTGCTAGTGCTGGGGCATAGCGAATAATTTATGGAGCTAAACTAGTAAAGAGTACCTGTCTTCTGAACAACTGTCATAGGTAGCCATTTTGTGGGCTGAACTCACAAAGTATCACATGACGAGTGATGTCACTCATTTCACAGAGTTGACAGACCTAATCAGAGAGAATAAACAAATAATGATGCTCTTAGTATTGATTTCCTAAAACTGGGGCCCAGAATAATGTCCACCTGCAAAGCTATCTATACAACCCAACCACCAATACATCATACTTTGCATAGACATGCATGCTTGGATTGCCCAAGTATACATGTTTATTTCCATGGAAGAAAACATCTCTTCCGGGAGCAGGAAGATGTCTCCAAATTGAATGAACAGTAGCAGTTGATCAAATAAAAAATACACCAAGGTTAAACGTTTTTACCTCACAAATGGCTGACTGGGTATGTTTATGGATATAGGCTGGTAACCACTGATATGAGTACCATGATATATTCTCCATTATCTTCGTTATGTTTATTTGGTTTTACTTCTCATTCTGTGTCCTCTTGGATCCATCCATTTTCAGGGTCCTAAAAATATTAACAACTTGCCAACCGCCCTGGTCAAAGTTAGGTATATATATATATGTTATTCCGCATTTCCAGGTTGGGGAGGTGTGCATGCGTGTGCGCACCGCCCTACCCGTGCTGTCATTGGCTCCTGTAGGTGTCAATCACCTGGTCCCAGGCAGTGATTCAAGGCTGGGACTCAGCGATCGGTGAAGCAGCTGACAGGAGAGAGATCTCTGCTGGGACCAGATGCAAACAGGAAGACAAAAAATCAGCACATCCCCTAGTAAAACACCACACAGTACACAATTAAATCACTCCCTAAACACACAGTTAACCCTTTGATTTCCCCAGATATTACACCCCATCCTGCCCAGTCTCTAGTCCTCAAAAAAACACTCCTGCGCTCAATCCAAAGTGCTTCAAATTATGTTATGGTATGTAATGCTTCCTCAGGGGCAGCTCTCCAAGAATCAGGGAAATTCCAGGGAACTGTAAAGGTAATACACAAGGAATTGCGTCCTCTTGTGGTTTTTTAATTTTCCTGCCCAGTGTCATTAGTACATTGTCAGTGCTTTCTATTAGCACTGATCACTGTATTAATGTCACTGGAGACATCAGTGGCAGTCAGTTCCCAACCAGTGTCAGAATGTCCACCGTACTCTGGCAGTCCTGCTATAAGTCGCTGATTGCCACCATTACTAGTATGAAAAAAAAAAAATTTCCAGTATGTATACTGCCATTTGTAGATGCCATTGCTTTCACGCAAACCAATTAATATTTACTTATTGGGATTTTGTTTTTACCACAGGTATGCTGCAGAATACATTTTGGCCTAAATTTATAAAGAAATTGTATTTTTTTAAATTTTTTATTGGATATGTTTTATAACAAAAAAGTAAAATATATTATTTGCGGTCTTTTTTCATTTATAGCACAATAAATAGAAAACTCAGCGATGATCAAATACCCCAAAATAATTAATTTGTGTATAGCGGTGCATGACTGAGCAATTGTCAGTTAAAGTAGCACAGCTCCATATAGCCTGGTCATGAAGAGGGATAAATCTTCTGGAGGGTAAGTGGTTAAACAAAGGGCCAGTTCAATGTCCTTCAGACTATTAGGGGCCAAAATGTGAACAGTAGGAGAATAAAATGCCCAAGCATTGGAGATCAATAGGAGTAAAAACGGAAAATTGTATCATGCGTAATTTTCCTTTTCTGACGCCAATCCATGGCAGCATATGTGTGATATAGCTCCGCCCTTATATCCACCCACAGGACCTGTGTATATCTATAAAAGTTTGACTGAGAGCAACCTCCCCCATAGATGATTGGCATCAGGAAAGGAAAAGTATGGTAAGTATGATACAATTTTCCGCTTTCCAATTGCCAACATGGCAGCATACAATAACTAGCTAAACAGGGAGGGCTAAACTGTATAATCAAACTGCATTACAATGGACATGGAAGCCTAGACTACCATTCTGTTGAAGTCCATTGATGTATAAGCCCCTGGATCTTCCCTGTACCGCCTGAGGCACGTGCACTGTGGTAACTAGCCTGCTACTTTGCAAAAGTCTTCATAGACACTTTGCATACGCTGCCCCGAATGTAGAGATGGACCTGGCTGAATGAGCCTCTACCACTTCTGGAGTATCTTGCCTGGCTGCACTATGTTTTCAGGATGACCTTGACACTCCAAGATGACAAGGTTTGCTGCAGCTTCCTCCTCTGAATTTGCCTGATGGAAAGCACGAACAGCCTCCCAGAGGATTTAAACTAGGAAGCAGCATGAAGGTAGGCATCTTAGATACCTGGTACATCCAGCTTGTGTAGGTTAGGTACCATTTGTGCCAGAAAGGATGGAATCCCCAATTTTTAAGATGAAAACTGAAGCCACCTGGGAACAAAGGTGCTCGAGGGGCATAGTCCCCAACATGTTCAGAAGAAAGAATATGTAGGATGTAGCTTGAACTGCTTGGAGGTCCAAAACTCTGCCCCCTGAAATTATTGAGGGACACTGCTTCTTGAGTGATGTACTATTGAAGTCTCCTTTCTATTGGTATAAACAGAGTCATGGCAAGGAAATCCAGTGCCAGAATAAAATCCCACAGGGGAAACGTTTTTTTCGCACACATGAGGTTAGAGTAGGAGGGCGTCATATGAAATCCTCCCAGAACGAGAGAACTGCCTTGCGCCCATCTGTCATTTCCTTATATGGAGGACAGGAGGCGGTTAAGTTTGACGTTTGCGATCGAACATTCCATTAGGTTCGAATGTTTGACCGCGAACCTAACACGGGGATGTTCGGCCCATCACCAGAGAGCAGGAAGGAGTCTTTATTACAGGAAGCTGCTGCACAGAAGAAACATTTCACACTGGATTACTGCACAGATCTGGAAGAAATACACAAAGCACACCAAGAATCAAGGAAGAATACACATGGCTCTTATATTTAGACAATATTTGCTTAACTCGGAGTTCAGCTTTAAAATACGAACACACTTAAATTAATTACACAATTATGAAGGAAGCAGCTCAGATTTTCAAGGATGAATGAGCATGTCATTTTAATAGATTACTCCACCCAAAACTAGTACAGTTTTTTATGCTACTCAGTTGGGTTGATTTACTAAAATCGGAGAGTGCAAAATCTGGTGCAGCTGTGCATGGTAGCCAATCAGCTTCTAACTTCACTTTGTTCAATTAAGCTTTGACAATAAAACCTGGAAGCTGATTGGTTTATATGCACAGCTGCACCAGATTTTGCACTCTGCAGGTTTAGTAAATAAACTCCATTGTCTCTTTTGACATGCTGGAGACTTTATTTTAAAAAATGAAAAAATCAGCAACTGAGTATTAATCTCTTCACGCAGACGGTACGCAAATATGTGAACCTCTCGGTGGCTGGGCCTTGACCCTGAGCGGCCGCAAATTTGCGTACCATTTGTAAATAAACATGTGCTGAGAGCGCGCACACTGCATGCTCCAAGCACATGTGTCGATGTCCCACGGAGAGGTCTTGATCTCTCCTTGCGATTGGGACCTTTCCAATCATGTGATGGCGGTCACTGAACCCTAAAGCCCCGCCTCCCGCATCAGAAACCCCCTAAAGGGCCGAAAGGCGCTGGTGTGAAGGGGTTAAGTTTCTCTGACTTCAGCAGAAGAAATGACACTTCAGACCAGGGGCGGACTGACAACTCATGGGACCCCTGGGCAATAGGGGATCATGGGGGCCCTGTGTCCTTGCCCACACTCAAACCACACCCAAAAAATCCTATGAAAGGTATCAGGGGCATCTCATGGGGCCCCCTACTGACCCCGGGCCCTCGGGCAGTGCCCGAGAGCCCAAATGGTCAGTCCGCCCCTGCTTCAGACCAAGACTAGCATAGCCAGGTCATTCAGCTAGGAGAGATCCCATGTCTTTTATTCAGGGACGTATTCACCACAAGGCCAACAAGGCGTTTGCCTAGGGTGGCCTTTTTCATGGGGGTGGCATGGGGACCAGGTGGGATCCGTGAGAGGCTGCGGGCTGCTTGACTGTGTATGCAGAGCCTGACTCTCGTTCTCGAGGATGCCCAGAAGAATTGATGCTATAAAGTTATGTGTGTGTCTGTCTCTCTCACTGGGTGGAGGGGTGGCATAGTGATGGGTGTATGGGGGTGGTGGAAGGCTCTCTCAGCCGGCAAGGGGGGGGGGGGCAGGATTGGTTGGTTGGTGTTGGTAATTGTCAGGCTCTCCCCATGGGGGGGGGGGGGGGGCTGGGTGATGTGGGGTGATGTGGTGCTGGTTGGTATCAGGCTCACTCTGTAAAAGGGGGGAGGGAGCCGATTTTTATGTTGCACAAGACCTATATACGCCATTGCTTATATTAAACCCCCGGAAGGTGATTGAGCTTACCGTTATCCCCCTATAATCTAAAATCTCCATTTTGAATAGATTTGCCCATTACCACCCTCAATGTTAGTGCCCACTCAATAACGGCAGGTCCTGTCCAAGTTTTAACGCACTAATTGACTCTGACACTACAAACAAGGCCTGCCCGGGAAATATTGTTTCATTTCATTATTACAGCTGAATTCCCTAAAAGCAATGCATCATTCAATTAAATGCAAAGTAATTACATGAACGGAGTGGATATAATTTGATTTTTCTGCAGTATTTTGGTTTTGTAATTAACGTCTTGGCACAAGTACTGTAATTTGAGGATGCCCAGGAATGGGGAAATTAGTGGTGTAAGGCAAATAGCAGGGTTCATGAGAGATGCTTTGATTACAATTAGCTGTTGTATGAGAATTTCCATTATGTAGGCAGTGCCGGGCTTAAAATAACATTCCGATCCTAAAAATATCTATAGAAAGATGTAGCTGGATCAGCACCTTAGATCAAGGCATGCATTCCTAATGTTACAATAACCGGAAATTGATTAATGCTGGGACTTTTTAGGTGCTACAATGATGGATTGTGCATACACTTTGACATATAAAACAATTACTTTGTTTTCATAAATATTCTAACATACATAGATAAAAAAAAAAAAGAACTTAAATGGACATTTAACATAAAAGCGTATGTAAAAGCAAAAACACAAAATTTATTTCATCTTACCAATCCTTATATGTGGCGGCTGCATTCATTTCTTTTTTACATTTTTTTTCTTTTAGTTCCACCTAGTGATCCTGGCCAGTAGGTTGAAGAAAAAAAAAAAAACACCTTGATTCCCCCATCCAAACATATGATGTGGCTGAAGGAATCCTTCCGCTGTGTCTTTGTATTCTGACAGAAGGCAGACTTCCACGCTGTCAGAATACAATGATTAGTGCGTCCAACTATAGCCTGCAGCTCTGATCAAGCAGAAATTTTCCAGCAAGGCGGTTGTACAGAAGTCGATCAGTACAACCAGGGGCAGACTGGCCATTTGGAAACTCGGGCACTGCCCGAGGGCCCGGGGTCAGTAGGAGGCCCCATGAGATGCCCCTGGTACCTTTTTCATAGGCTTTTTTGAGTTTGGGCAAGGAAACAGGGGCCCCATGATCTCCTATTGCCCGGGGGCCCCATGAGTTGTCAGTCCGCCCCTGGGCACAAACACCTCCTGCACATGAGTGTAGTGGACTATAGGTTGCTCTTTGCATGCACTCCTTTATCTGCATGGACCAGAGAGGGCCTTGCTGTCCTATAAAAGTCCAGGGTTGTCCTATTAGTAACTGTAAAAACACAAGCAAGAGAGGGCACACCAGCCTAGCACATTATCCATGAAAACTTTCTGAAAGTGGCGTTCCAGCCATTTTTGTGTTTAATTAAAAGTCAGCAGCTACAAAAAACTGTAGCTGCTGACTTTTAATAAACACACACTTACTTGTCCCAGAGTCGAGAGACGTGCTCACCTGTGCCATCCCTTCTATCCCTCTTCTCTTCCTGACGCCGGCATCTCAACTGTGGGCACCAGGCTGTGACAGCTTGTGGCTTCACGGCCGGGAGTCCACTGTGCATGCGCGAGTCGTGCTGCACATTCCGATTGGTCCGGCAGTCTTCTGGGACCTGTGAAGGTTCCCAGGAGATGTGGGAGGAAGGAGAGGGCCAAACTTCTGGCTCACTTTGACGTGGCGAACTGAGCCGGAAGTGGGAGCGTGTACCCAAAGGGTGCCAAATATGTCAGTGGAGGGGGAGAGGAGGCAAACAAGCGAAGCTTCTACTTTTGGGTGGAACTCTGCTTTAAAAGGCCAGTAAAAATGCATGCTCACAAACCATGCCTGTTGACAGCATATTTATTTATTTCAGGTACTTATATAGTGCTGTCAATTTATGCAGCAATTTACACATATGTTGTACATTCACATCAGTCCCTAACCCTCAAGGGGTGTACAATCTAAGGCCCCTAACTTACATTCATACATACAGATACTAGGGCCAATTTAGACAGGAGCCAATTAACCTACCAGCATGTCTTTGGAGTGTTGAAGGAAAATGGAGTACCTGGAGGAAACCCATGCAAGCACAGGGAGAACATGCAAACTCCAGGCAGGTAGTGCTGTAGTTAGGATGCAAACCAATGACCCGAGTACTGCCAGGTGGAAGTGCTAACCATTTAGCCACTGTGCAGAGCCATATCAAGCTACTGTTCTGTAGCACAATGGTTTATCAGACCCAGAGCATTCCAAACCAAATGGAATGCCATTCGGGATCCAGAAGCATCCGTTTACACCCAACTGGCCTCTGATCCGATCCACCCAGATAGAGGGGAACATATCGGTTTTCTTTTTTTTTTTTTTTTTTTAGTGGATCATGTCTGATTGGAAGTAGGCGGGTGTAAACGGACACAGGTTTGCATCTGCCGCTCCAAAGAGGTGAATGGAGGGCCCAATCGGGTTCACCTAAAAAACAGACAGGTGGACCACATCAGACCGATCGTGTGAAAGGGACCTTAGCAAAATATGTGATTGAACTGATGACGCCTGTGCTAAAGGGCTGCATACACAGCTGGGCGACACTGAAACGCAGGCATTTCCCCAAACTCAGTTGCACATTTTGTTGTGCATTTTCCACATGACAAACCTCACAAATAAATGTGCAAAAATGCACATTGCCAAATGCGCTTGGCTCGGTGCCAAAAATTGGTACTGGAGCTTCTTTGGCGCATTTGGCATGCAACAGGCAGTCTATTCAAGCCAATGGGCTGTCACACCAAAAACCTGCTAAAACATCAACCCAAAACACAACGCATTGGTCAGGTGTGAATGTAGCCTTATGGTCTTTTTAGTTTACACATGTGGCAAGGACTGCCGCTTCTCTGAAAAATGATCCATTTGTATCGATGGGCTACCTTACCTGCAACAAATACAGCAAAGTAGCTCTTGCATCTTTTTGAGCACTGAGCTTTGTGCCTTTGTTCGCTTTTACATTGAGGTATTTTTCACACTAGCAGTTGAGGGGCGGTAAAACCCTGGAGCTGAAGCAGTGACCAGGGGTGTTACACCCCCCTCTCATGGCTGCTGTTAGAAACCCAGGGGCCCCGTAATGCCAACTTGACAGCCCCCCCTCAAACAAAACACAGTTTACAAGGCTTCAGTTATGAATGAACACAGTGAGTGATCAGTACTGATCGCTCATTGTGTTCATTCAGGAAAGAAAGAGGCTGGTAAATGGGACATATTTACTGGACACTTCCCCCACTCTCCATCCTGAAGTGTCCTATTGTGTGCTTTCAGCTGCTGGTGGGAGTGAAAGGAGGGAAGCTGGCAGCACTGTAGGGCAGGGGCACACAAGGGGGCCTGGGCAGCAGGGAGGAAATGTATGGTGCACAGGGAGGTCGCGGCAGGGGTGCAATTACTGGAACCAATCCCCTGTATGACTCTCTCTACAGCAGCTGAAAGCTAGCGGGAAGGAGAGGAGAAGAAGACAGTTTTCAGCTGCTACAGAGAGAACCATACAGGGGATTGTTGCAGTAATTGCCGCTCCCCTGCTGCGCCGATCACCCTACATACCCACATCCGATTCACCCAGCTGCCTGGGCCCCGTACAGTAGGACTGGTGGTACCCTCTTATCCATTTCCCTGCCCCCTATCACCAGGGCCAGTGCTAGACTATTTTGCGCCCTAGGCAAGACCAGCTACTTGCATCCCCCCCCCCCCCCCAAAACAAAAAAACTAAAAAGTTTTTTTAAAAACGATAGAAAATATTAAACCAACAAAACATGAAACTGCTAAATGTCTTTTCATATGTAAAAATAAGTGCCATAAGATGCCACCAGCACCAATAATAAAGACAAAATCAGTGTCACGGACAGACTGTACCTTTGGCTGGCAGTGGCAGGGTGACAGTTGCAGTGGATGGAGGATGATGGATCCACACTCCAACAGATCCCGGGTTGGAATTCCTCAGGCAATGGGGGGAGATAAAACGCTGTGACAGCAGGCAGCCGAACTGAGCGATCCCACACAGTGACAGATCCGACGCAATACTACCACCAACACTGACACAGATCAGCAGGCACTAGAAGAGGAGGATTTGGGATCGTGATGATGTCATCACTCACTGAAACATTGCACATGTGATGGATGGCCGGCTGGCCAGGTCACAGTCACACAGACATGAGACATCAGACATTACCCTCCCCCGCAGGTGCAGCTCTGCCTCCGCTGTTGAATGGGAAGAGAAGGGCTGGAACTCCATAGGGATCATTACATTACATTACATCGAGTTTATATAGCGTCAAAGGGTTTGCTCAACGCTGTACAATAGAGGGGGAGACAATGCATGAAACAGTACAGAAACTACAAACAGCACACGAGGGGTTAGAGGGCCCTACTCTTTTGAGCTTACAATCTAGGAGGGACATCAGCAGCCACCAGCCGGATTGCAATAAGGGACTTTGTCTGAGAGGAACACTGGAAAGAGCGGCAGGACAGCTGCTACACTGGCCCCAGACCACAGGCACCTTCCTCTGTCCTTTCTTCCTCCCCTCTGCCACCCCTCCTCTCAACTGGAGGATCACTCATGACGTGGTGGCGTCACGCACAAAAAGAGTGCTGGCCTGTGCTGTGCCCAGGCGCCCCTAAGTGGCAGTACACCCTAGTTCGTCTAGTGGAAGCACCGGCCCTGCCTATCACTTTCCGCAGGCATAGTGCCCACCAAGCATGACCCATTCTGCAAGCGTCCCACTCCCAAGTGCAATACACATGGTTGTGACGTGCTAGTGTGGGGCTCAAGCGGTTAAGGCAGGAGGTGAGGGGGGTGTTGTGTCAAATTTTTTCTGAAGAGCAATGCAATCACAGATTGCTCCTAAGAGATCAAAGCATGTGTGAACAAATCCTAACAATGAATGGCACTGCAAGCGCAACATGCGGTTTTAGTGCGCGTTCACAAAAAGCTATAGTGTGAATGGAAGCTCAGTGAAAATGCCTGACCATTTCATAACCATTAATTATATTTTACAATTCTAATCAACTTCTTAATTCAAAACAATATCATTCACATTGGAATAGAATTTGTCTTTAACATGCAATGTGAATCTTTTTCTAGATGTGATAGGATGGCTTGTAGAACGCCAAGATTCCCTTCCTCCTAATCTGCATTCAGCTGCCCACTCCGACCAGCTGCTCTCTTGCAGGGTGTTTAGCCTCTGCCTACACAGCTGCAAGCCCACCACAAGCGGCCTCAGCGCACAAGACTCTTAGAAGCCGCCAGCTACTGAAACACCTCCGGAGAATAACCGAGTCTTTATTCCAACCTCTGAGCATTTGGGAGAGAAGGAAAAAAAAAACATTTCATGTTTAAAAATAATCCGGGTACATTGATCTCTATAGGAGTAGCATGCTCAACATTGACTGCAAGGGGCTGCCTCTCTGACGAGAATAACAAGTAATGTAGAAAGGAGGATATTGCTCATGAGCCAAAATGTATTACCGGGCATGCAGTTTCCTAAAGGAATGGCACACAGCATGGGGTTGAAATGTTCCAGGCACATACACCCACATTTAATAAAGGTACTGCAAAGCGTTAAAAGCCACAGATCCAAAAACATGGAAAGCAGCCAATTTACCTTTCAAAGATTTCACATTTCTGTTGAAAGTTTTACTAAACCTACAACAGTAAAATCAGTCTGTATATGCAGTAAAGCATGCTTGTTATACTCACTATGGAACCTAAGGGGTTAATAGGCTGTTTGATCCTATCTTTTATGATCCTCCCCTTCTTCGACTGTACCCAGTCCATCTGCTGCTCTAGGAGGCACTCTGCACATGCTCAGTTTAGTGTGTATGGCTAAAGAGTTTTTTTTTTCTTTGGGAAGGTGCATGTGATCAGCACAGGGTCAATCAACGCTGTCCAGACAGAGAGTCAGGGGTTATGCAGCCTCGTGGGACAGCCAGAGCAGAATAAAAACCACTGCTACAAGCTTTAACCAGTGCTCAGCTGGACACTGAAGGAAGTCACATGACTGATATACACTGCTGATGAGAAAAGGTATTTAACAGTTTATATTTACTAAAATAATTCCATTTCCATGTCATGTGTACTGTGGGAGGCCAGATATAGTGAATGCAGGGTCCGGGGTTTAGTA